AAAAAAAAGAATTGCAGGGTCGCTTGTAGTGACCCTCTAGGTCACTGTCCTAGAGGGTCAGCACAAGTTGGAGTTGAGTCAATGGCAGTGAGGCTTTGGCCACAAAACTACAATTAAATATTAGAAAAGAAATGGATTCGAAGTATCATGTACCGACCAAGAGAAACAATGACAGATCTGGTGGCGATGGTTTGGTTTGGCTATGATTTGTGAAAAGTCTAAGAAAAGCAGTGTTTTCCATTCAGTTAAAGATACAATAATGAAAATGATTCAGGTAGCAATAATGTTTGGCTTTATGTTTACTTATATTAGCAAATATAAAGGTATTTCTAAATATTCATTTTAGGACAGTAAGTACCATGATTAGAAGAGGAGCCCTGGGGGCATGGTGGCTACAAGTTGAGCTGCTAACCATATGGTCAACAGTTCAAAACCACCAGCCGCTGTATGGGAGAAAGACTAGGCTTTCTACTCCTGTAAAGAGCTCAAGTGTCAGAAGCCCATGGGGACAAATCTACCCTGTCATATAGGATTGCTGATTTATCACAACCTGGAGAAACAAATTCGGAAAAGAAACTCCAGTATTTTTGAAGACTGCTATGATTGCCATTTTAAGGAAGTGATTTGACAGAAAAAACTACCCGCATTGAATCAGAGGACCTAACTAGAGTGGGTCTGATTGGACCCTGTGGAGGCAGGGACCAAGTGACAGCACTTCATTGGCAGAAAGAAGGTGGGTGTGGTCACCGTAATGGGCAGCAGAGACAAAGTTGTCATCCCGATAAACCGACTCCTAAGGCATTGGCTACTGCGTTAGGGTGTCCCTGGGAGTGACATAGCTAGAGAATCGACTAAGTATCTCTTTTATCTGCACAAGCAGAAGACTTCCCGGACAAGTGCCTGGCAGTAGCCAGTTCACAGAGCCACAAGCCTTAAATGGCGGGGATGCCAGGTTCCCTTGAGGAAGGATTACAGGGCTCACCATGTATGCTAATAGCTTTCTCCTCTCACTCACGCCCAGGGAGTCAATTGTCACCCATTCTCCAAAGGAATCGACTGCCTTTTGTGAGTGACTGTTCCTCAGGGGGAAAGGAAACAGACTTTTTTTGGGGTGGTGGTGGCTGTTACTAGACACTGCCTCTAAATGAACACCCGCTCCAGGAGAACCAAACAATGTTGAAGACCCACCAGTCAGGGGGGGGGGGCATATGGAGATCAAGTTCCTGAAGCAATGGCAGGTTTATCTCAGGCTCATGTCACAGTGGGTCCAGTGGGTCCCCAGACATGTCCTGTAGTGAGCGCTCCAGCTCCAGAACTGACAGAACCGCTGTAGTGGATCCCTGATACGTGGAAGAAGGGCAATTATGGTAGGAAAGGCCAAATGGAAGCCATTAGAACTGCCCCTACCTAGAAAAATAGATCACTCATCTTTTGGCTACTAGTTGAATGATTAACTTTTGCACCACCCTGGGAGTCCTCACTAAGAGCTGTTATTAGTGACTCCATGTCCCACGGGGTAGAGTGGGGCAGTAACCTCGATGGGGGCAGATCCTAAGGTGGAGCCAATGGGTGAGTTCAAACCCAGTCCTCTGGTTAACACCCAACCCCCTAACTTTGCAAAACCAAAGTGACTACGTTGCTGCAGTTGTTTTTGTCATTGTCAGATGCCATCCGATTGGTTTCAACTCGTAGGGCTCCTTCGGATGAAGGATGGCGTGGTCCTGAGCCATCCTCACAATTGTTATGCTTGCGCCAGTGTTACGCCAACGTGTGAATCCAGCTTCCTGACCCTCCAGTGTACAAGCCTGAGGTCCTTCTCCAAGGACGAGTCTCAACTGACCACGTGCCAAAGGCGTTGAGACCACGTCTTCCCATCAATACTTGCCTATTTCCCGCACCCCCACCCCCAGAAAGATGGAGACTCTATAAGAGCCGAGACTATGGCGGGGTCCTCATCGGCAGTCTTTGCCCTGAGCCGCCGGCCCTGCCTTGGTTGGCCAGTCTCCATGGTCAGTAATTGGGTCACTCCCAGGGCCACCAGGTCAGCCTGCAGAAGCAACGTGTTGCGGGGCGGGGGCAGGCAGGGTTGGCACATGCTGCGATGCTGGCTGGTGGGGCTATGGGGCCCACAGGCAAACTGGGGATGTGGGGCATGTAAGCCTCCACCAAACACGGTGCCAACAGACAGACGGGTGGAGCTGGAAGGGCAGGCCGAGAAGGACAGCGCTGAGCAGGGTCACTGCGAAGTAAGAGGCCCCTGAGGCCTGGGGATCGTGCTTGGCTCAGGAGGCAGCGAGGGAACGCAGGGGCCTCACTGGGAGCACGTGGCCCGCTGGGAGCACGTGGCTCGCTGGGAGCACGTGGCTCGGGAGCGTGCGAGGGCGCGCGAGTCGCGCGGGGCACGCTGGG